GTGAATCCACGGTGTTCCAAGGATGGCATTGTAGATGGTCGGGCGGTTGATGACTGCGAATTCTACCTTTCTAGTCATGCCGCCGACGTAAGTGACTAGGTATATCGAACCGATGCTGTAAGAGGTGTCGCCTGCGAATTCGGTCAATGGTTTTCTGATCGCTATTATCTTGTGTTTATCAATATGCATTCTTGACAGTGTATCTTCAAATATGATGTTGACTGTGCTCCCACCATCGATCAGGACTTTGACGATCATGCTGTCATGGATCTGTAAAGTTATCACTAGCGGGTCGAAGTGTGGTTCGTGGAGCTACGTTGATCCTCTGTTGTGAATTCTATCAGTGTCTCGTATCTTGGGATGGGTGGATTTCGCTTTGCCGCTGCCGCTTTTTCTTCGTGTTATCTTATTTCTTGCAGCGAGCTGGGATTATAAAATATTCCTCCTAGAATCATGTGGGTACCGTAGTTGGTTTCTCGTACGTGTTTTTCCGTGGGTGGTGGGATCGCGGTAGTAGGGCTGTTGGTGCGAATAAGATCGCTGTTGTCGACGGGGAGGCTCATCGCTTCGTCTGTAGGGACTAGGAGAATAAAGTCTTTTATTATTAGTAATAAGACGAAGTGATTACAAAGAGTGGGATAACCGAGAGGTTATGGCGAAGTGAAAAGAAGGTTTGTGAAGTAAACTAGAAAGCGTTGGAGTCTCTGGTTTTAGCTCTGCTGCTCTCTAGATTGTATGAGTTGGTTTTCTTAGCTTCAAGGTCTCTTTATTTATAGGGATAGGAGGTCGGTTGCTTCGAGTTCTTTTTCCTTTTGCCTTTAGTGAATATTTCTATATCTACGATATGGAAATATCCCTTATTCTCCGAATAATATGGAAATTATCTTTTATCCTTTGGGCTAATCTGATGTTTCTGGTCTTCCATAATTATCTTTTACGAGTTTTCCTTTAATCCAAGCTACGTCAGCGCGGTCTTCCTGGTCGTGATGGGCTTAGGTTATTGCGAAGAAAAGCTTTTTAGGAAATGTGCTCATTTCCCCTCTAACATAAGATATGTTTAAGCTATGCATACAATTCTGGCTCAGGTACATATACATTGATACCCATGATTGCATTCATACAGAAGCGGTTATTAAGAAACAAGATGCATTACTCTTTGAGATAAGAGTATATACCTGATTCAGAATCCATCTCACAAGCCAAACAACATCACTTCAGCTATAAGAAACGTCAAGAGCATGTTCTTTGCCTGGGAGAAATTATAGAATAGTTACAGATTTTGTCTGCTAAGTAAACTTAACATGATCATAAGTTGAGTACACTTCATCAATATATATTCTGGATTGAAGAACTAATCAAATGTTATTACCTTATTGAACTGGATGAGCTATTTATACAGATTTACTGTGATTATCCACATCTGTACTGTGGTCTGAATTGAAGAGAGAGTGTGTAACTATTCAGTGAGAGTGCCAACCAAGACTAAACACATAACTTGAATCCATTTGGTAACTAGCCTTGATTACTTGCGTGCAGAAACTACTAATAGAATGGGTGTGCAACTCTAAAAGATCTCTTGCTTCGCTGTCATTGGAATTTTCCTCCAGCTTGGTCTAATGAGTAACTTTAATCGACTATGAGGATAGCTATGTATGGAAGAGGAGCATATGGGGGAATTGTACCTTGGTTACAAAGTGTCTGCACTTCACGCAACATTCGAAAGCATAGATTCATTACTTGGCTATCCTCACTGTTTTTTAAATCGAAAATCATCAGTTGAGGTCTTAATACTTCCTCGGAATGACTGCTTTGTAATCAATCCGTTGAAAGCAGAAACCACCAATTTTTCGAATGCACGTTCCGTTAGTCGATTTGGGAGCCGATTGATATTCGTTGTCATCTTCTTCCTCTTCGTTCCTGGGATTCTTGCTTGGCAGGCTACGATCTACTCTATCTGATGTGAGAGGAACGCTCGCCTTTAGCACCAACAATGTAAGCCGACTTCTTCAGTTGTCTCTGCTATTGATTCCTTGATTCGAAACAGATCCTCAAGCTATAAAAATACGAACCCAGAAATGGCTTTGGATATGTACCAGTGCCAACTACGGATCTCGATCACTTCATCCCATCTTATCAATTAATTGGAGACTCCAGTTGGTGATTAGAACTTCTTCTTCGAGATGCAAAATCAAAGTGATCCAATTTAGTCAATTCTATTATTCGTCACCATTTTTTTTAAGGTAGCAATCAAAAAAAGTTTTATGTCGATTGGGCCAAAATGTGCTATGTAGATAGAATTTATAATAAAGAGCCCAAACAGTTGTTCGAACATTATCGCAATGTTTTAATGGCCCAATAATTTTTATAAAAATTAAATATGTTTTCCACAAACATTTTTTTACAAAATAAGAAACATTTAAAAGTAATAACAACTTACACAGCCAATAGCAAAAACACTAACTGTATACTTATTATATATGGTTGATGGTAAAAGACTCAAACAAGATAAAAAAAAGGACTTTTCTGGACAATGACCTTCTACGATATTCACCAATCGCGTTTAAAAGAAAAATTATAATTACAAAACCACATAATTTATGGGGAAATTGCTCATTTAATTCCTGAAGTATTTGCAATTGGCAAATTTATTCCCCAACTATGATGTGTGTAGATTAAATCTTCAACTTAGCATTGACTTGGCAAATTTATGCATGAAAAAAATCAACGTTAATGAAGAAAACGGAAACATTAGCGTTGACTTCTCTTGGTCTAATTTTGCAAGGTCAGCATAAACTAGAGAAATTAATTTTCCAAATTAAAAGTTGGGAAATTAATCTGTACAATTAGAAAAACATGGAGAATTAAGTGATCATGTTTTATTTATAAAATTATGATTATTTTCATAAATCATAATTATTTGTAGAATACCATCAAATACTTTTTATTATATTATGTTTTCTAATAATCATAAATCATAATTATTTGTAGAATACCATCAAATACTTTTAAAAAAAATATTTTTATTATATTATGTTTTCTGTCTAAAATTTTATTGATATTTAATCAAAATGACAAAATCAATATACATAACTTTCGAAAAAAATAACTTAAGCAGATATATGTGTCTTTAAAAATTTTAGGACTCGGGATGGAAATTGGAAATATGGGAATCCGATAAGAATGAAACGGATTTGGGAAATTCTCTTATCCAAAATCTCTTCTCAAACTCCCACTATTTTGGGTAAAGATCAACTTCAAAACATATATTTTGGATAATTTTGGGAAAATTCGGAAACTTTTGGGAAAATTAATAAATAAATATATAAACATATATATATTTTTTTTGAACAGGTAATTAAGGTATATGATCTTGTACCCTTTCTTTTTTTGTACCTGTTTGAATAAAACAAATAGTTCTGATTGATAGGAGAATAATCATCGGTTGCTAACCAAATACTACCATATACTGAGAAAGATAGATAAAAATAAGTGAATTTGATGAAAATTATTTCTTCTAATAGTTTAACCATACCAATAACCGTATGATAGGAGCGGTTGATAACCAAAAAATTTGCCAGTAAAAAAAATCACTAGAATTAAATACACGTAATTTTATTCATAACAATAGAAAACATTATATAATAAAAAAAATATTTCTTAAGAAAATATTTAATGATATTCTACAAATAATCATGATTTATGAAAATAATCATAATTTTCTAAATAAAAAATGATCATTTAATTCCTCAAGTTTTTGTCATTGTGCATATCAATTCCCCAACTTTCAATTTGGCAAATTAATTCTTCGAGTTTATGTTGACTTTGCAAAATTGGACTGAGATATAAAGTCAACGGTAACGTTTTTGTTTTCTTCTTTAACGCTGACTTTTCTCATGTCTAGATTTGCGAAATCAACGCTAAGTTGAGGATTTAATCTGCACACATGATAGTTGGGGAATAAATTTGCTAATTACAAATACTTCAGGAATTAAACGAACAATTTCCCATAATTTATGGATATAAAATCTGCTTGAGTTTTTTTTTAACACATTGTTTCAGTTATTCTTTAAAAGAATTTATATAAATATTAATTAAGAACTAAAACAAAAATCATGGGTATTCACATATGTCTTATTATAAGTACTCTTCATATAATATTCAGAATAGCATACTTTTATGTATTATCATCTTTATGTATATACAGATGATCCTAAACAACTCTCGTGTTTTCTTCTTCTCAAATGATTAACAGTAAGACACCAGGTTCTATAGAAGTTTTTTGAATCAAAATCGTGAAGAATTACCGATTTATGAAGTAAAGAATCAAAGCTAAAGATCAAAAAAAAGATCTCAATCGCGAAATTTAGAATTTGAAAGTATTCAATTTGATACAAAGAAAAATGGATTATTTTTGCATGTGTTGCTATTGGATTAATAAAAAAATTTCTTCTCGAATGTGCTAAAATGTTGGACACAAAATTTTGATCTGGATTTCAAAATAAAACATTGGTTCAGAATATTACTAATAAGTTTTAAAAAAAAATTTAAAATAGGTCAAAATATATTTTTATACAAAAGCTGTTACATACAAAATTTTGGCTAAAAATAATTTAAAAATTGTTATAAATTTGTAAAGAGAAGAAATGAAGTTAATGTTAATAAAAAGTGTCAAAAGTGCATACGTTTTATTTTATATTGGGTCAATATATAAAATTCAGAGATAACAACAAATTAACTAAAATATCTGATTCAATTTCTCTCATTTTTACTATGTAAGTTCATAATATAAAAAACAAAATATTTCTAAATCATCGAACCTGCGCTAAACGCAGATCCAAAGTCTATTTAACTTTTTATAACGACTCGGTTTTTTTTATACTACTGGACTACAATGTATATAATTCATAACAAAACTGAAATATATAAAACTTTTATTCAACAATTTATTATACGTATATATACTTATATATAACCAGGATTGTAAATCCAACGATCAAAATCTACCGTGCTTTAGGTTCTTTGATCTCGGAAAATACTCCCCAACTCGACCCACTCCTTAAAGGAGCAGAATTATCATCGGTCATCGTAGATTCCGACACGTGTCCTGTAGTCGTACTAAACAAATCTTCTCCGTCCGTCGTCGTACCTACCTCACCACGTGGCATATCCGCAGAATCCACGTCATTATTCTTTTTACCAGTCTCGTGAAGCTGAAGCGCAAACTCAAGCCCCCAAACAACGTCGTTCATCGATGGCCGTTCGATCCCACGATCTTGAACACATCTCACGGCAATCTCACAGAACTTCTCCAATGAGATCAGAGTAATATCAGCCTTTAGATCCTCATCAACGATCCGATCAACGGTTCCTCTTTTGTAATTTGACTTCACCCATCTGACCAAATCTCCTTCTTCCGGTGGAACATTTTGGAGTTTGACCGGTCTACAACATAGAACCTCGAACAGAACAACTCCAAATGAATACACGTCAGATTTTTCCGTCAAGACTTGACGGCGGTAGTACTCAGGATCCAAGTAACCAAACGTTCCTTTAACGACCGTCGAGACATGCGTCTGAGAGGAGCCAGTAGGACCCACTTTTGATAACCCAAAGTCAGAGACTTTAGCTACAAAGTTCTCATCAAGAAGTATGTTCGTGGTCTTGATGTCTCTGTGTATGATCATGTGCTTCGCGCCTGTATGGAGATATTGTAGACCACGAGCTGCTCCGATGCAAATCTCTAACCTCCGTTTCCACGACAACGGAGGATCAAAAGCCTTGTTTCTCTTGTAGAGATGGTCTTTGAGAGTGCCATGTGGCATATACTCGTACACAAGAACCATCTCGTTCTCATCGTCGCAGTATCCGATTAGAGAGACGAGATGTTTGTGTCGGAGCATTGAGAGCATCTCGAGCTCTGTGTCAAACTCTTTAGAGCCTTGGTTCGATAAAATGTCTAACCGTTTAACCGCCACGAGCGTGGTTCCACCGTCAATTCTTCCTTTGTAAACCGAACCGAACCCTCCTACTCCAACGATTAGCTCTTTCTCGAAATCGTTTGTGGCGGATTTGATCTCGAGGATTGAGAATCGACGGCAGAGATCCGACGGCAGAGATGTGGCTGATTTTGTATGAGAGGATCCCGTAACAAAGGGAAGATGAGTCCACGAGTCCTTAGGCTTGCTCGTGTTATGTATACTAAACTCCTTCTTATTCTTCTTCTTCCTCTTCATGAGGAAGACAACAACAACAAACATTGCTATCACAATTGCAGAACCAACAACGGCCAGTGATATTACCAAAACATGCGACTTGACTTTGCCTTTTGGTATATCCCGCTTTGGTGTAGGACTTGGTGGAGGAGGATTTGGATTAGGTCCAGCGAGATTACCTTCAGAATTATTCAGCTTGAGAACCTCTAAACCATTCAGAATAGCGTCCAGATACTTTGGCTTGACGTGCTCATAAGGATGCAACTCAAGCAGTAGATCATGACTCGGCCCATTCTCAGAACCAACATATACACTGAAATCAAGATACACCGGAATCCGAGAACCTCCGCTCAAGAAAATCACGTCGGTTTCAAGCTTAGCCATCTGGTTTCTTAAGAAGATAGAGAAGATGCGTTGGCCCGGTTCGGTCACTTCGAACAGAGTCTCACAGAAATGAAGCCTAACGAGGTAAGTAAACCCGGCGTCGACACTCAAGAGCCATGTCAGATTGAAATTCAAGTTGAGTACAGGGTGCTCGACGTTCCCCATCGTACGATACGTCTTGTACACATCTTCCGGCGCAACGTACGCCGGAGTTTTCGCCGTGTAGTTTATCGTCACATCCGGCGGTAGCACCGGTTTGAGTCCCGAAGCTTCACTGAGTATGAACTCGTCATCGGAAACCCACCGCCGGAACATTCCCGTGTCACCAACGTCTTGTCCGGCCACGTTTAACCGGTAAACGGTCTCGAAAGCCGTTGTGTTGTCTATCACGAAGTCAGTGGAGGCACCGACGTATGTTATCCTGTCGTCAAATCCACCTTTTGAGTAAAGCCGATCAGGCATGGAGACGATCTCGATTCCGTTAACGAAAGCTGACGAATTTGGAGACGGCTTGAAGGTGAGATTCAGAGTCCGGTTATTAACCGGAACGATAAACTCTTTGATTAATGATTTTGATTCCGGTATGGAAGCTCTTACCGTTAAATCGGCGCTGAAGTTGTTCAAAAGAGTGAAACTATTGACGGTGACGGAGAAGAAGGAATTGGCGGCGTCGAAACCACCAAATTTGTAACGGGTCGGGTAAAAGTGTAATCGGACGAATTTCCAGCCGGGAGAGACTTTAAAACTGTAAGTGAAATCTGATCGGAAAATCCGAGCCGTCATGTAGGGCACCTGAGGAACCCCCGAGTCTTGGAACGATGCTTCCGAAAAGAACGACGCGTTGACTGAATTCGCCGATAGGAGTTTCCTATTCTCCGCCGTCCAGTTCCGGCCATCGTCGTCGATGTTGTCGGATGTAGCGCCGCAGTTGAAGAAAAAGACATCGGTGGGAGTATACGCCGGCGTTGATCCTTTCCCGACGTCGGCGGCGGAAAGTAAGACAGAGAAAACTAACAAAGCGTGACAGATCATCGGATTAAAATCGGAATTGAAAAATGAGAATTATTGAATGACGGAGACGAAGATAAGAGAATGAGTGTAATTAATTGAAGGCTAAGCCATTGGTGGTGAGTGAGTCTACGGGTCAACCGTTGACTTACTTTTCAGGTCAAGCAAAAGCAAAAGAAGGTTTATAGACGAAATTTCTACGGTTGGGTCGTTCGATGTCAATAATTTCAGTACGGTGTCGGTTTGTGTCCAACTTGCAAGTGTTTTGTTTATTCTTTGAGTAGGTTAATTAGGTTAGCTTTACACTCGTGAATGCCTGAATGGGGAATATTAGTTTTGTCGGGATAATGGGACACTGAATATATTAAATAAAAAGATATTACGTTTTTTCTACTCGAACATGGATTTTGTTTGGGAGTATTTTGCATTATGGTAATAGGAAATGTGTTCATTGTTAAAAAAAAAAAGGAATGTGCTCATTGTTTTGACAAAAATCATTTCATTCATTCATCTATTAGCGGATGAATAGCGTTTGGGTAATTGGTTGTATCCATGGTCCGGAATCTGAGATTAACTAACAAATGGTAAGCCGGCTTCCAAAAAAATAAGAAAGAGTTTTTTTTGGCAAAAGTTTTCCAACACCCAAATCACGTACTATTGAAAACAAATACTTAGTAGGGTAAACTTTAATGGATACGGGTTGGAATACTACGTTGGAGTATCACATAATACTCATCTGCTATTTGGTGATAATTGAAGAGGTTGTAAATAGATATGGAAGTGGGTTAGACCATCCACGAGTCTCTCATGAAAGACACTATATATTATTTGAGAGATTTTGAAGTGAATATTTCAACATTTTGAGAAACTCATTAATAAAATATTAATTAAATCAATATGTATATATTGACATTATTTAATTAATATTGGAAGTCTCTCATGAGATACTCTGATGCAGTGCATCTTTGTATTTTACAATCTTTTATTTGGACTTCTATTTTGAGTTTTATGTGTTGAACGCAACTATTGTGTTCAATAAGTAATTAGATCTTTTTCGTCTTTCTCTTTTGTTTTAGGGTTTTCTCAAGTCTTCCTTTAGTTTAAATAGAGTAATAATGGAGTCTTTTTGTTCGGTAATTTTGTTTTGATAAATCAACAAAAAAACCAAAAAGAGGAAACTCAAGTTTCCCAAAGAACTTTCTTGTGTAAAGCCCCGAGAGGAGGACTCTCAAACTCTAGCTGTAATCGGAATCTTTTGCAAGTTCTCCTGGAGTTCTTGTGATCTAACTTATTATCTTAGCTTCCACTCTCTATCAGTTGGTATCAGAGCTTCGTTTACAAGTTTCAACAATGATGCCAAAGATGGATGGAAACGATCAACAATATCTTCTTTGAGGTCAAGCAACAGACTGAAATGAGCTTCGTAACACGCTTCATGTGATGCGAGAGAACTTCCTAACAGCTATTTACAACTCGAGTCATCAGTTGGTGGAGAAGACGACCTTCAATAACCAGACGTCACAGGTCCAAGATTCAAAAGACGAGTTAGTGATAGTGGTCGATAATACCTTGATGTGCAAGCGTCATCAACAGATCCGTGATGAACCATCAAGTTGTGGTCAAAATGATAGTTTGTTCCTTCTCTGTTTAGAGGATACTTATACGGAGATCTATGGAGAACCGATTTTTGACAACTATCATGATGAGCCGATTTGTGATGTTTCGGCTAACGAATCATGCTCAATGAAGCCTCTTCATTCTCAAGGATCACTGAGGTGTCCAGTCTTTGTGTTCGGGGATGTTGAAAATCCTAGTTATGACTTATATCAGTTAGATGACATAGATCTGATCGAGTTAGATGCCATCAATCTGATCGAATTTCTAGGGATAGACGATGTAGAACCGGCACTGGTGGATCATATTCAATTCATGAGCACACTTGATGAGATATACGGAGATACATATACGAATATGAGAAGTCGAGGTAGCTGTTTTAGTGGTACAAATCATCGTCGACGGGTCAATAGGGAGCCGCCAGATCGGGGTCGCAACAAGTATTCCTTTCTTCAGAGGGAGGACAATCTCTACAAAGAGTTCCATGTATATCATGTTGTAACCATCTATGGGGAATCCGATAATGACCAGCTTCAGGATGGTAGTCTAAGTTTGTCTCTTCTAGAAGAAACGCACCGACCCAATAATTTGTTCTCCGACATTCGGGATGTTCAAGCAATTATGTCCCCAGATCATACTATCTTGGCTCCCACAACTAATCACCGCATTGAGGAGCCAATAAAGTGTCAGACAGAGTTGCACCACAACCTCCTTGTGAAAAAAGAAACAAATCAATCATCTACCCATCAAGAACAATATTGCAGATTCGACAAAATGAGCAGCTTTGTCATTGAATATTGGCCATTTTGTAGCAATCATGGTGATCGAGCTCTTCAACGGCATATCAGCGAAGCGCCATCTGATATGCTTTCTCACCGGAATCAGATAATGGAAAGTTGCCAATGGAAATCTGAATGCAAGCTCGATGTCGCAGACTTTCATGTTGGTGTACGAAGCGAGAAGCTTACTCATTGGCTTATATTCACCGAGAAATTACCCAATTGCTACAATCACGTTTAAGACTTGGCAGGCGAGCTTGTCTATAGGTATAATATTGATTTTTCTGCTCTGGTGTTTGCCTACTATGGAGATACAATTAGGGATTTTTCCGATGATAAATACCATTTTCGAATGGTATACTTAGTCATCGAGGGTCAAGTGGTAAGAGATGTTGCCAATGTAAACGTTTGTTTCACTACTAAAGCACATGTCCAAGTCATTGCCAACATCAATCAGAAAAAGATGTAGGTGTGGGTTTTACAAGGCATATTCTACAGTGTGCATCTCAGGAAAGAGACCTCTTGATTTTTTTTCACCATGCAAGAATTCACGGTAAATACAAGGAGCCACCAGATCATGATCACTGATAGCAGGATAAATTATTAAGAAAATCCTAACACATTCATGTCATTGCAGCATGTAAAGTATCAATCCATCTGAGTTCTTAAGGCACCAAGCATACAGCAAATCACTTAATTCAAGCTAGATTCAAGAAAGCAGTTGTGATCAAACTAAACAAGTCTAAAGACTGAACTAAACAAAGCAGGAAATTCAGATATAAGAGGTAAGGATCTAAGATGGGGGTTATTGATTAAGAGGGGATTAGAACCTAACTAGTGATGCTTCAAAACCATTCAAACAATACTATCTTCTAGGCATAGGATTAACAACTATAGCTAGCTCAATTATTTGACACTAATCACTTTGCTAAGCACATATTCAAGATAAATCCCTTTACTTAAACACATGACCAGCAAGCATTCAGAACAGAACTCCAATCCTATAAAGCCAAAATGCACCTTAGACATCTAATTCCTTAGGCTAAGCATACAAATCCTCTAAGAGATTCTAAGCAGCATTTCATCAAACACTTACCAGACGCAAGAGAAAGTTAAGATACTAAACAAGTCTGGCCAAGACTAATCTAGTGTTAATCACATCAAATAGAGAGAAGACAATCATATTAAGCTCAATACATCATTAATATAGTCCTAAAACCCATGTAATCTATCCTATCTCAAATCCTAAATAAGACTACTCACTAGCCATAGTCAAAACCACAAATTCTAAAGAGAAAAGATAGTTAAGCATGTTTAGGAAGCAGAATAAACAAGAATAGTTCAAAGGCAGATACAGAAATTCACTAAATCAAACTAGTTCTTCCAAAGCAAAGCTGAAAAAGGAAACGTTTTAAGTGTAAGAACAGAAAGAAAATAACAAAATCCAAGTTGCCTAACCATTTTAGGACTTTAGTATATATAGGGAAACAAGAAAACCCCTAGTAAACCAAGATTAAGCCGAAAATAAACTGACTCGGACAGACCATATCGACAGTGAACATCGATATACATGTCGATATCATCTCTTCTTCTGGGTTGTATTGATGTCTTCTGGTCGATATGCACGTCGATACAGAAGCTTTCCAAGTTGTATCGGTTTGGTCTCCAGGGTGTGAAGTCGATACAATCGTCCTTTAGTTAAGGCTCATCGATCAAGCAAGTCGATATGGCACCTCAGTATTGTCATGTCATGTGTATCGATTTAAGACGTCGATACACTGCTCGATATGGACTCCATTCTGCTGCATCAAGCTGTCTAAGTCGATATGCTTCCTTCACATTATGCCTCTTTCTGTATCGATGTTGAGGTGGTCGATACTCCCATCGATATGCTCCGTATCGATTACATGATGTCGATCTCACCATCGATATTGGTCCATCCGCCTTTGTCTCTTGCCTTGCTCCATTCCCAGCTCACACCCATTGCACCACATGACCTCCACACTCCTTCAAGTACCTGAATAAAACTCCAAATGCATGCAAAATGCAATGCAGCTCCTAAAACTACACTAACTCATAAATGTATGCAAATGGGACGAGAAAAAGCAAAATATGTATGTTTAGAGACTAAAACTAGTGATGAATGCAAGCTAGAATGGTATAAATAATAGAGATATCAACACCCCCACACTTGCCTTTTGCTTGTCCTCAAGCAAACAAACTAGTGAAGATGGGCACTCAAATCCAAAAATGCAAAGGTAAAGAGATGGAATCAATGCTTAAGTGTCTAGTTGTGGGATGCAAACATAATCAGATGTACTTTAAAGAACTTAGCCATGCTCATCATGTTTCAAAATGATCTCAAATCTCAACTTAAACAAATGCTCAAATCAATCAACTCTTTAACATTCAATTAAGCTCAAAACCATGAATCATGTTTATGCAAATCAAGTGAAGACATTTGGTTCAAAGGGTAAGGTTATGAGATAAAAATAATCTCATTTCAGCATAGGGTTCACAAACATAAGGGATCACTCAATGAAAATGATTATATCTTAGGCAAAATGCTAAAGGTAAAAGCACACGTATGCATGCAAATCAAAGCTCCCTTCTACCCTTTTACCCAAAGAT